ATTGAAGACCAGTTTAGACCAGACAACGAGGAAGGTAAGTCATTGTTAGTCTAGCGCATTAGCGCTAGCGCCATTTGTTTTGATGTACGTTTTTGTTGATAACGTCGCGAGTTTGTATCTTTCAGTGTTGGGCTATTCAGGTGGGCACCGTTAGATTCTGTGTCTCCTTGCGATCATAAACAATGTGTTGGATGTGCAGCTAGGGTAAGTAATAAGGGAGCGAGGAGTGATTTTCGGTGCTGTAATAGGTTAGCATTTTTCGCTCGGGGCTAATTCAGAGGCTCACTGTAAGAGTAGGCCTATGTTTTATTTTATTTTTTATTTTTTTCACAACAGTTGTATTTGGATGGAATGAATACCTATAGTGATAATTCAAAGTAATAAAATGATTTTTACAGTGAAAAAGTTCAAATGGAACCGATGGTTCCCAAATTACCCAGAGGTGAGTCCGCTTAGACTTTATTTTTCTAAATCTCTCTAAAAAGGTCAAATTTCACTTGTTTTGCATCAATCTTGATACAGGGTACTTATTATCAGTGCTGGAATTGGGCCGGTACTCACCGGTACGCAGTACCGGCACTTCTGGTTCTGACCCATGGAGTACCGGCACTTCTTGCTCAGTACCGGCATGCTGGCGGTACTCCGGTACTCATGCACCGTGCCAGTACTCAACACTCTCCTGCCGTTCTTATTATACATCCATATATATATATATATACAGCCGCCCGGTACTCAGTAGATGCGTCATGAGGTGCCGAACGGACATTCTCATCGCTCTAACCGCTGGAGTTTCACAGCGGCTGTCAGCTGTTTACTCCTGTCATTCAAACAGAACGTGCTGGAGAGGGGGCGGGGATTATCTTCTCCATGTAAATACTGTGGTGGAAACGACTATGTCAAAATTAACCTATTTGACCGTGATTTAATAGTAATACACGTTTCAAAATAATAATAATAATAATAATAATGCCGAAGTAACAACATACTGCAAACTGTTAGTAAAACCATGTTTTAATGCTTTACAATTTACATACCTAGATGCACGTGTGTTGTGTTTATGCAGTGCAACTCCCACCCAGTGGGTGCCTATGTAGAGTGATAGAACAGAGCAGGCACGCCCCCGAGAGAAGGAAAGCAAGTCACGTCACAAATTAGCATTTCTAAAATGTTAGCGTGGATTAATAAAAGTGCAAAAAGACAGCGGTTGTCGCCGGAAGAAACTTCAAATACAAAGAATGCTGTGCCTGTGTTGGAAATTGTGTCTGATGGGGAGCTTTCTTTGGTTGATCCTCCTGCTCCAAGTTCTAGTGCATTAGCATTAGCACTAGCTCCGCCGCCTCCTCCAGAGCCTCTAACGTTAGCTGCTGCTGGCGCAACTGCCACCACCAACACCGGGCAAAGCGATGCACCTGACTGCTGGACAACGGACCAGGTGCAATATTTTTGCAAGACCAATGCATGGCTCCTTCTTAAAGATAAGAAGCTAGGATGTCGGATATGCAGAGATGTCAAATCTTTGGGAATACACACTGGACAAGGACTGAAACTGTCAACTGAATGGGGTGAGTGTGCAGTGTCTCATTTCGGTGTTGACAAGGGCAAACAACAAGCTAGCCTGAGAAAAAAAATCAAAGAACATAAAGAATCACAAGCCCATGTAAAAGCTGCTGACATCCTTACATCTGCTTCACGTGAAACTATTCAACATCAAGTGCAGTCTATGCATACTTCTGAATTAGACACCACTATCAGAGTTTTTCGAACGGCATATAAAATTGGCAAACATAGCCGGCCATTCACAGACATGCCAATTGATTTGAATGTACAGAAACTGAATGGGCTGAACGTGGGCAGGGTTTTGCACTCCAATAAAACCTGTGGCGAAATCATCGACCACATAGCTCATGAGCTGAAGAAAAAAATGGCAAAAGACATTACAGAAAACCAAAGAAAACTCTGTGTTTTGGTCGATGAATCTACCACTATTAGTGGTAAAACGGTGCTTGTTGTGTGTCTACGCTCAGCATTAGCTGATGCTGAGCCCGAAACGTTTTTTTGGGAGCTGATCGAGTTGGATGGAACAACGGCTGATGACATCACAAAGGCGTTAATGGAGTGTCTTGGAAGAGATTTTAACGAGGACTTTTTAGGTCAGTGTTTCGTTTCTTTTGCATGTGATGGGGCTTCAGTCATGCTAGGGAAGAGAACAGGCGTTGCTACCCAGTTGTGTAGTAAATTCCCAAGCCTGTTTGTGTGGCACTGCTCCAATCATCGTCTAGAGCTGGCAGTTGGGGATGTGGTCAAGGAGGTCTCAGGGCTCAATCATTTCCAGATCTTTTTTGACAAACTCTATTCCTTGTTCCATGCCTCCCCCAAAAATCAGAGGCAGTTAGCGCAGTGTGCGCAAGCAGTCGGACAGCGTCTCCTGGTGATAGGGCGTGTTTTGTCCATCCGCTGGGTGGCTTCAAGTGAAAGGAGCGTCAGAGCAGTCTGGGAAAACTACAGAGTGCTTCATGATCACTTCACAAATGCTGCAAACGACACGAGCAGGGATTCCAGAGACAGAGCAAAGTACAAGGGCCTGGATGATGTGCTCACATCTGCAACGTTTGTCAGCAATCTGGGACTGATGTACGATGCGCTCACAGAGCTCAGCGACCTCTCTCGGCAACTCCAAAAAAGAGAGATGACACTGCCTACAGCAGATAGGCTCTTAACTCGAGAAATACGAGTTTTTGAATCCATGGTCACCATGCCTGGCCCACACATGACTACAGTTCATACAGCTCTAGCTGAGAAGTCCTTCAAGGGTGTTGCCCTGCGTGAGAATGGCAGGCTTGTACAGATTCATGCAGGTCAGTTTTTCCGCAGTATGGTAGAGAATCTGAGACACAGAATGACTTCCACAACCTCCTCTCATGTCAGCACAAGAGAAATCCCATTACATGGCCGGGAGGCCCGGGACAATCAGCTAATCCAGGACATGAAAGTTATCCATCCTGGAAGTTGGCCTGAAGAGGAGTTAGACGTACAGTATGGGGACGTAGAGGTGCTACGTTTGTGCGAAGTGCTGAAAGTGGACAGAAGAGAGACTGTTCAGGGCTTTCGCGAATACAAGGAAACCAGGGCATCCCGTACACCTGCTGCCATGGAGCCTCTACTGAAAGCAGTCCGAACCATCGCTGTCTCCACTAGTGAGTGTGAGCGGGCATTCAGCTGCATGAACGATATCCTTACTGCAAAAAGGAATGCTCTCTCTGTCAGCCGACTGTCCAGCCTGGTTTTCATTAAATGTAATGGACCATCACTAGGACAGTTCAATCCGGAACAGTATGTGAGGTCCTGGCTGGCAAAGGGAAGGAGAAGTGCTGATGAAAGAGCCTGTCCAGCTCCAGCCCCTGATACTGATGTCCCCAAGGCCTTCTGGAGCCTTTTCTAACAATGTGAAGTATATTGCAAAGCAGCTCACCCAGTGAGAAGACTTTTGGCATAATGTGCCGATTTGTACAGATCCTGGAGATAGAAGGACTTCAGACCAACCAGGGAGTTATCTGATCAGCTTGGTGTTCAATGTAACTCTTTACCATGGCTCAGACTTTGTTACTTGCAGTTACAGTTTCTCATTTTAGATTGTGCAAATTTTGCATTTGTTTTTACATGTTCTTTGTTCATGCTCTTTATCATTTTTCTGAGTTGGAAAGTTAGATTGCATCATAGTTTACTTTATACATATTTGTATTCTTCAGTGGTGAAGTATATTGCAAAGCAGCTCAGCCATGTGAGAAGACTTTTGGCACTTTTTCGTTTTTCGTTTTCTGAGTTGGAAAGTTAGATTGCATTCAAAATGTACAGAAATACTTAATTTTGTTAAAGCTTTTTATAAAAAATGCTTCTGACCAGAGCTTTGTTTCCTTGTCATTAATGTTGAACACCACCAGAGGGGCTCTCACCTGAAAGGTCTCTGCTTCATGTGTCTTCAGCAGAAGATCTAGACTTTGATTGCTATATTTTCAGTTAATATTGACCTTACTGAGCTTTAGCCATATCCACTGCCTATCATAAAAAATGTTAAGTACAGTGAACCTTTCTAAAATATACAGTAGTAAAGAGACAAACCCACCAGCATTATAGTAGCCAAATTCTTGTTTGTGGGCTGTATATATAAAATTGACTTGAAAAAGTTGCTGATTTTAGAGTACTGGCACCTTTTTCATTCCAATTCAAGCACTGCTTATTATATGTTATAATTTGGATTCCTAAAGCTTTTAGTCTACTAACCCATCATGCAAGGGTGGTTTTCACTATAAGTAAAGGTTTTTTTTTAGGTGGACATTATAATTTACATGTTTTTACTATGTTCCATCTGAATTTACTTTAAAATAAAAACATCTATATTGATTCTGACACTTCTACATCCAACTCACAGATGTAACCTTGCTTTGAGAAAAATAATTATTAATTTACCCCTTTTAGAAGTGAAGATATATAATTTGTTGTGTTAGTGGCATTTTCGAGCCTGAAACCTGAAAAACAGGCTCAGGGCTTAACTGGTTAAGAAAAACCACCCAACTCAGTAAACACTGTGAAACTGTATTTGATAGTTTTACAGTTGCAAGGGTAATGTTCATAATTTGCCTTTTGGTTTACCATATTGTTGTACGATCAAAACATATAAGAATTTTAGAAACATATGGCATAAGATAAAAATTCTTAATAAACACCGTCAATTACATGAACTGTGTTAGTTGGTCATTTAAAATCCCTTTCACTTTTGTAAAAGATGGTCCAGTGTTTCTTATGTTAATTAAGATATCAAAGGAAGCGTTGCAGCTCCTTTCCTGTCATCAAGAGAATTTAAATGGCTCTTATCATGGCTGCCACTTACTTCCTAATCTTTTCACTCCGTTAGGAACCTTCCTGAAAGAAAAACACTAATCCACTGAGTCCCCTGACAGGAAATAATCAGACTATATCTAAATGTTTCACTGTATGGCCTGCAGGTGTCACATGTGTTCTCCGGCTATGGACCAGGGGTGAGATATGTCCACTTCCAGCACCGCCTGAAGAGCCAGTTTATGATGGAATTCTACACCACGCTGTTCACCGGCAGCTCGGTGATGGTCAGACCAACCAAAACCAGCTCCTAGGCTGACTCTTCTGAAACTGTAAAGACTTAGTTGTTCGAATATTCCATGTCATCATCTATAAAGTAACAACACATACACATATTGTCTTTTACAAAAGTGATAATATTTTTGATTTTGATGTGCTTACATATTACAGAGTTTGCAATAATTAATAATGGATTGTGTGTAATAATTTTGCAAATGTATGTGTATTTAGTTCAATTGTTTTATTTTGCATTCCCTTGCATTTCCAAAATAAAAGGCAAATGGAATTAAGTTTTTTTTTTTTTAGGACACCATACACTGTTGTGTGTAATAAAAAAACACATTTTTAACCTTACAGTTCATTTCATTTTTAACACTGAAACCTGTCTCTTAAAAATGATTGAAAAAGTCTAACTATATAAACCCTCTCTATGCACTCTCACTAACGTATTTTGTCGAAGGAAATTGGTGGGTTCTGTGTACATAATACATGACAGACTCACAGTTCATGTTACTGCGGCCTGAATTACCTAAGACTTGTGAATCAAGAGATATAGAGACTGGCCTTTGTCAAGGAATAAGACCACTTAGTTAGTAAAACATTAATAAGAGGTAGTTTAAGTAAACTCACTCTTTAAAAACTCATTGTATTTGACCAGGCTACAAGAAAATGTAGTCTATTGCAGGTTCCATGTATTTTATTTTTTGAAATTTCAGAAAGATTCTGGCATTAACATTATACTAATGTTGTACTTTTATTCAGTGTCAATTAGCCTTAAGAAATAATTTGACAAATGCCCTAATGAATTAGCTATACACCATTGATAGAACAACGTTTGGGTTCCAGATTGTGAAAACTCCATTTGACAGCATTATATTTAGCATTTAATAATGAATCACAAACTTTCATTGGGCAACCACACAATTGTTCATATATCATGGCTCTACAAATACAGCAAACACATACTCAAAATGTAAAATACTTAAATATTCAAAGCATTACCTAATGATATGGATTAACCATTCGTAAAGATGTGAGTTACAACTTTAACTCTTTATGAAGCCTGTCTTCATGAAAGTGGCACTTACAAACAAAACAAGTTTTAATATTGATAATGTGATTTCCAACAAATCTAACACTGAACTACCGTTAGGTCGTAATAACCTAGTGGACGAATATCCTGATATTTGGCAATATATATCAAACTTGTTTGATCCTACTAACCCTTCTTTTAAAATTCAAACATATTTTACACATTCAGGAAATAACATCTCAGGCCTCTCAGTGTAGCGTGGTCAAATACGGCCAAACTGTAAACCATGCTGCACAGCAGGGTAGAGTGAGTGAGCAGCTAAATGCAGTTTTGCAGTTGCGCACTTTCAAATGCGTGTGATGCCTTCAGGTGCTCCCAAAACCAACTCGGACAAGATGTTCATGAATAAATAATAGGCCTATCATAAACCATAAATAGCCCTACAGTACCTCACTGCTGGAACCAAAACTAGATGTTTGACCCTTAATTGTTACAACATTTTCAACCAACACACATTACAGTTTTTTTTCCGGGTAATAAACGTGTAACTCAGCGACAACTAGCCGCTTCTCAACTTAATTATGTCCAAACTAGAAACTTCGGAGTAGACATTGAACGCAGCACATCATCACCCCGCGTGGGCTCGCAGCATCATCTCCGTTAGTTAACGGGAAAGTTCATTCTGTGAGTTCAGCTGTGTGTCGGACCGGGATAGTTTTACCGGGCGTGCGTTTCCAGACTTCCAGAAGCAATGCCAAGATTTGGTGGAGCTGTGCCATAAAGCCGAAGGTAAGAGACGGAGGGCCGGGGAGAGAGGAGCAGGTGCGGCGGGAGAACGGGCGTTTAGGGAGACTGCTAAAAAAGCTCCACCCTCAGGAGCTATCTGTAGTTTTGATTAATAGCAGTCCGATATCAAATACTGTATGTACATACATGGTCCCCACAACTCTATATCCTATGGACTTAACTACAGACTTCAAATACTAGACTATTATCTGTGGCTTCTCAGAGTTATTAACGTTTTTTACGAAGTTACATTTGGACAAAGAAGGACCCTTTCACTTTTACCACATTACATGACACTAGCTGAGAGTAGCTTTTATCCAAAGCAAAATTGCAATTAACCATGAGAATACAAACTAAGAACAGCAACACTTATAATACATTATCTCAATAAATATGGTGGGAAGTTTCACCAAAGAAATTCACATTTTTATATTATTATAATCAAGTTTATGAAATACTGTGTATACAAATACAAGGAATTTGCTTTTGTGTACAATGGTTCATACATAAACACAGTAAGAGGTACCGCGTTGTGAAAAAGGAGCAAATATAGAACTATTATTTAAACTATTTTACAATAAATTAAATTAAATGAAGTGCTTACAAGACAACAAGAATATTTGTCAATTTACTCTAAAAAGGAAATATGTGCAGTATTTAAAATGTAAAGTGAAAGAGCAGTGCAGTTATAGTAGAGGTGGTATTGTGCAGAAATGTAAAAAGTATATAGAGAAAGGTTAAATAGCAGTGTTACTGGCAGAGCTAATTGAAACACCTTATGGTAAAAATAAATGTGCACCAAAATCTTCACCATATAGTAATATATGTAATGTTCTAATAGTATGGTAATTTGTTTTCATGTCTACATCCACAACTGGAATAAGTAACATGTGGATCAGCACTGGAAACTGTACTAGTTATTCATCATGTGACATTTTGTTGATAACTAACCTTATTTCTGTCCTGTTTGGTTGTTCTGATAAATAGCATCAGCTTATCTGGTTTGAGGAAGCATTTTAAACTGGATAAGGTGAATTGATACTGCTTAGAAAAACCCATTGATTTTATTCTGAAAAATCACCTTGTTTTCTCCCTGAAATTTGTTGATAAGGTTGAACTTTAACTGACATTTAACTGACATGAAGCATCCTTAATTTAGCTGATTGGTTGGCTCATACAGTTTCCCACTTGCCCCCCTCTTGTGCTCATGTCATCCGAGGTTGCCGCTGCCAACAGGCGTTTTAGGAGATGCTGATGTGTGGGACAGGAGGCGATGACTGCTGATACACTCCCAGTGCCAACCCTTTACATTTCATTACGCACATGATATCATTTTCAGATAAGCATCCTAAGGCACTATGATCACTCTGTTGGTTTTGCTGTCTTTCGCTCATGCAGGATTTTGTGGCATACGCTCTTCTTTTGATAGGTCACTTATATTTACACATGTGGTGCTTAGGAATGAATAAGAATGAACACTACGGAACAGTTACCTAACACACATGAGTCAACAGAATAAGGGCAAAACAAAAGCCTGGATTTGACAAAGAATAAGGAGAGTCATTGTCCTCTAACACAGAACTTATTTGAGTGCTTTTATCATTGTAAGATAAAAAGATGGCACAGTTGACATTGGACATATGAGTCCTTGGGATGTAGATGAAATGGGAATTTCTTCGAAATACTTTGACATATAACCAAATCGATTAAGCAAGAAAATAATCTGCAGATTTATCCACAATATGAAGAATTGCTATTTGCAGTATCTGATACTTAGGACAGGCTTGTCCTGGTAGTTTCTCAGTACAAGGAAGACAATATGTTTAGAGGCTAAATCCAAGTGGTCCACCACTGGAGCTCACTGACACTTATCCTGTAATGCAACCCCCCCTCCCACGTATGTGTCGGCTCAAGTAAACCAATGCTGCAGCACAGGCCCGGCTCCAGGATGAAATGACTGAGGGGGCTGTTAAAAAATCCGAGGGGGCGATTTTTTTTCACAACAACGAAAAATACTGGCAATGTAATGATTTGACACACCAAGCTTTTTTCCTTCTCACTGTTCTACAATCTCTTTGCTTCTTTATTTTTATTCCGGATTTACCCCTCTCGTTCTGTTGTTTTCCTCTGATCTTTAATAACAGATAGTACAGTACATTATCAGATGGCTGCATTTTGGTTAACAGACTAACATTGATTTCCTCAATTTATAAATTGACAGGCTCTGTAATTATACAATAACCTTTTCTCCTCTATCCCTTAACTCGTCTTTCTATACAGATTTACTTACTTACTTACTATCTACTCTAGTCAGGTCAGGATTAAAGAAACATTAATCTGGTTGATTTTTTATTTTCAGGATTGAATGTTCAAATCAAGGCCTAAAACCTGACATTTCATAAGAAAGTGACTAATATATAATCCGAATGTAATATTGGATCAAATACTACACCAAATGGACAGACACAGATTAAAAATAAAAATAAAGTCCCCTGGTTTGTCTAACTGCCATGAGAAAAATCGAATCAATGTTCCAAAATCCGTCACTAGATGTACAACCGTATTGGATTACATCATGTATTTTTTAGCTGCCCGGATTATAACAGACAAAGACTCATTCTGAAAACTGCACTGGAACAACATAACATCAAGGACATGGATTTCAAGTCAATATACGAAAGTAAATCAAGAAATGAAGTAAACAAGCTGATCTTCAAGTTCCTCAAAAACACTGGTCTGAGGGCAAGGATTTAATATAAACATTTGATAAATCAATAGTAGGTGGCGATATATGCTCCAAGTGGAAGCGATTCGCCATTAAAGAAAATAGAAGAAGAAGAAGAAGAAGAAGTAGTAGAAGAAGAAGAAATACGCTAACGCTACAAACAGGCACTGTTGTTACTCTGTTTTTACTGACATATAACATTTGATTTCCCCTTGCTCTATTTTTTTAACGCACGTTCAAAAACGGGAACATTTTCGGGAGTCTCAACCGGGTACCAGCCACCGAAAACGGGGACTCTGCCCGGAATACGGGGACGTTTTGGTCACCCATCCGACTGTGTTTACAGCTAGCATACATGCTAACATAAGACTACAAGCCCCCTTGGGGTTGAGGCTTTTTTACACGTTGCTTGACTGCCTGCCCACATATCTGATCCACACATAGTAACGTGTATTGGGGAAAATAATTATTTAAAGTTATTTAATAATTGTGACATTTAGTGTACTTTTTGATGGATGAATGATGCTCAAAGTGAGGGGGCAAATAATACAACTGAGGAGGCAATGCCCCCTTTTGCCCCCTCGTGGCACCGGGCCCGCTGCAGCATCGAAATGCGCGCCATTACAGGTGCCACAGGACAAAGAGCCATACTACACCTCACATTTCGCTCACATTTCATCTACGTTCATTTAGTCCAACTGTACAGCGCATCAGACTCCTAGTGAAACCTTTAAGGAAGTCAAAACCTATGGATGAATTACTGTTACTCATTTGGTCATAGCTTCATTATGCTACTATAATGAAACAAAAACAATAGTATCAGATATAATGTAGTTATATTTCACAACTATCAGTCACTACATTGTTTCATTTCTGGTTGGATTACTTTGTGTAACAATCGTATACCGTGAGGCCAAAGCAATTATTTACCAGCCGCCCTGTGAGTCTGTCTGTGTGTGTGTGTGTGTGTGTGTGTGTGTGTGTGTGTGTGTGTGTGTGTGTGTGTGTGTGTGTGTGTGTGTGTGTGTGTGTGTGTGTGTGTGTGTGTGTGTGTGTGTGTGTGTGTGTTTTGCATATGAGCGAGGAGCCCGTGGGGTTCTGTTATGTTTTCATTGACTCCCTCCCTATTGTGTGTTCAGGCCAGCCGGCTGCCTCTGCACATTTTGTTAACATGTGTTGGTCTAAACTTGATTGTCATGGTGGTGAAGAATAAAAGGCGCCCCAAAAATGTTTCAAACTGAAATATTAGTTTGTGAGTATAAAGCACAGTCTAGACTTGCTCTATACGAAAAGGATCATGAGACGCTTTATAAATAAAAATGTACTTGACCTGTTTTTTTTTACCTTAGCTGTAATGTACCATATATGTGAGTGTTTGGGGCGTGATGACACCTAGTAAAGAACATTGTAAGAAATATGTTACATAGACTGGGTAATAAGTAATGATTTTCAAACTTAATGAGTCACGTTAGAAAAATAATTCCATTTCAAAGATTGCTCAAGGGGGTCAAGCAATGAAAGTTGGGCAATAGAGTGGCGCAGTAATTACGTATTTTTGTAAACAGTCCCCAAAGTTAGAATCGCAAGGGCTCCCATCTACAAAAAGCAATGGGATTTTTCCATTAGAGTTCGGAAAGTATTTCAGAAAATAAAATATATGACTAACAGACGTTTATGATACTTACAGGTTTTGTTCGGTATAATAGAGTGGTACAGGGATGACATATTTTTGTAGGCCGACCCGGAAATAAACTGCGCATGGGGCTCCATAGGATTTTGGAAAAGAGCTCGAAATAAGGTCTGTGGAAAACGAACTTGTTTGATGAATGCACGTTTTGTTCAGCCAGATAATATCCACATGTCTACCCAACTTTTATAATTTTCTAATCATAAATCTAATCGCCAGAATCAAAATGCTAACGTTATGCTATAAACGACCTACAGCCGAGTACAGCAGGGTCGCACAACTTCAACGTCACGCCAACTTAAGATCCATATTCACAAATACAGATTCAGAATTTTACAAGTTGAAGTGTTTATTTTAACTGTTTGCAAGCGCGCAGGTTTGCTTTCAAGCAGAACAGGGAAAACAAACTTAGCGGGAGTGTTTACGTGTTCGGCGTAATGACGTACAACGTCCTTCACAACTTCTGTAGTCCTATTCAGCCACTTGTTAACAACCATCGTTTTTCAGACACGCAAACTCTTCAAGAATCACCAGTGGGGTCACTGCTGATGTATTTAATGTCGTAGAACAAAACGTTATCCGTCTCTTAAA